GTGAAAAAAACGTAATCCATTAACAAAAAAATTCTGATCAGGACCTTTGTTCTTTCAACGGGGGGGGGGCAGAGGTCACAGGGATCCACCCTCCATCAAGAGGATGAAAGCCGCTGTGGACCGACCGAGGCCTTCACACAGTCCGACTGCTCAGCCTCAAAGAGAAACTAAACTGCATGTTGAAAACGCTCCGACACATTACTGATGATTTCTCCTGCAAGACTTCCAACATGCACAGGAACATTTTCAGTCAAAGCCTCCACAAACCACTCGAGTGAAACATGTGAACACGTTGCCATCTTGTGGAAGAACTGCAGAAAGTCACAGCTCACAAAAAAAAAAATCAGCCTTTTAAAAATCAGAAAGTCATTTGTAACCTGGATCAGGTCACCAGAGGTAGAGAGCCACTTCCTGTTCACACCACTCATCTGAAACGGTCACATGTTAGAGCTACAAATCCGGCTTTAAAATAACCACCAGCAACAGTTTTGTAGTGTTAGAAACTCAAAACTGGGAACTAAAAGATTCTTAGATCCAGGATCAATACGGATTAATAAATCTTCTCCACTGCAGTAATGAGAAAACACTGACTGCGTTTTCGTGACTTGATGCTCACCTTGTTCGGCGTCCACCTCTCTCCGTTCTCCAGCACCATCAGCGGCGTGTTGTTGGGCAGAGACTGGAAGAAGTCCTCCGAGTCCACCACAGTCCCGTCCTCCTCCAGGACCAGAGTCAGGAGGGTGCAGGTCAACATGAACACCCTCACCGCCTGAGACGCAACACAGGAAAACCAATCGCTGAATCACAGCGTGCAGGTGATGAGCCAAAGATCTGTTTTGAAACTCTGAATCTTCTCCACTGAAGCTGTGTGAATATTTTAAGATAACGTCACAGGGAGGATCTTCACCTGCTCCAGCAGCTCGTCCAGAGAGGACGCCTCCACACCCCGCCGCCGCCTCCGGCTGCTATGGGCGCAGATCATAAAACGGCGAGGCTGAGCCGCGGGCAAGATGTGACGAGAGATGGTGGTCTGGACTGTTGATACGGACCTGCAGACAAATTAAAAACACGACTGCTGTATCACTGGATGTAGACTGTTGCATCTGTGCTTTTTTAGTCTTCCTAAACGACGAACCGGTTCTACTACAGCATGTTCCACCTAAACGCCACAGTTATCCAACAGCTGGAGTTACTGGTTCCTTAGATTCAGATTTTTGAAATATAAACCTCTGCTCATATTAAATCATGATGCACAGTTGAGGATTAAACACCAGAATGCAGTGGTTCAACACTAAAGCTGCTCATCAGTTATCCAACGCCACTCATGATGGGAACAGTCTGCTGCATAAGTACTTTTGATACTTTAGAACATTTGACCTTTGATTACTTATCAACCTCGCAGGGCTTTTCATTTATATGTACACTGAAATTAGTTCTAAATGCGCAGAAAACCAAATTCATGACTTTCACTGAAGCTCAGATTTGAGCCTCGTCACGCTGGTGTGCCGCCACTGAAAGGGTAACGTGTTAAAGTATCTTGGTATACGGACGAACGATAAAGTTGCTTTCATTGTACTCATAGACAACAAGTCCCGTTTCCCCTCTGAAGTGCGAGAGAAACTTGTTCAAGCCACCTTTTTACCTGTGATTGACTGTGGGGACATGTTGTTCATGCGTGCAGAATCATCTCTGCTAGATTCTTACGACCATGCAGGGTTGCCAGATCATCCACCATCACTGTAGTTCTACGAAATGGTAAAGTGGCCTTCTCTAGCTACACGTAGCCCGCTAGGTGCGTTTTTATCTAGAATCCTGCACAAATTATCCAGTTAGCTTTGTAGCCCCTTAACTTTGCGGTCAGTGGTTACCAAACAGGGTGTCCCGTTTATAAAAGTCCCTCAACATGGAACTCTTCCTAAAAGATTCTCCAGTCAGAGGTGCTGGTACCACTTGGGGAGTTCAGGTTGCAGAGGTCCTTAAGAGTGTGGATGGGTCCCAAAGGCTTGATTCTTTAAGTGTACCATGTGTACTCATTCTCAATGGGCTTCTCCTGACCAAATTAAGATGTTGTTGCATTGATACTTTAGTGGATACGGTGCTTTAAGTACTTCAATACATTTTGCCAATTATAATTATGTTTTTGCTTTTTTAATGCAGCATTTTACTTAATTAAAAAGACTAACATTGTAGCAGAGACTCTTTCTCTCTAATACTTACTGGCAGGGAGGCCCGCAGCTTCACACTAATAACCCTTGACGCGCAGCAGGTGCGCCGCGTGCGCCAAATTACGCACCACATGCGTCGCATCAGATTCAACAAGAGGAACAAAAAGTTAATGTGGGAGGTTGTTTAAAAATATGTCAGTCAGTTGGTAGCCGACGAAGTTTTGTTCACCTACCTCACTAAAGTGTCCGGCAGCAGAGTTTTGGCGTAGTTCACTCCTGACTGGATGGACAGCGGCGCCATTGTGACGTTAATCAATGAGCTCGAGGAAAGAGAAATAACGGTCCCGCGCGCCAGACGCGGTTTGGACTGCAGAGACGCCTCCGTACCTGCACCTGTTTCATGACCAACCATTTATTAACAATGACCACCTGTGATTGGTCACTGATCAGGGCTGAGAACCAATAGAACGGAGAGCTGCCAAAACAAATCTTGATACGAAATACGGCAAAATTATTCAGGAGGATGATTTCAGCAGCAAGTAGGCCTATAGCCAACTAAACAAGAAACTAATCAAATAAAACGTCTCAACACACAAAAGTAAAGGTAAAAACATTTAAATGGCACCAATATTACAGCAGTTAAAATCCTACATTCTACAAAACATAATTATGTGAGAAAATTAGATTCACACAAAGACACAGTCCTCAAAATATCTAATATAGTATATATATAATATCAGTAATATTATGAAAACCAAGACTGTGACACATCCTTGAAGAACGAAACATTCAGAAACAGCGATGTCTGCTATAATTTTAAAAATATTTTTATTAATCTAGAGCTGTACAAAACAACAGGATTAAAAATGTTTTGCCTTCGTACACATGAGATTAATAGATGGGTAAATGTTGTATTCTAGCATGAAATAAGTGCACAGAAACACACAGCAAAGCAAAATACTTTAAATCATTAACATAAGTAAAAGTAATGTAATTACAAGTAGAAGCTTTCCTTTAATAAATCACAGTAATCAAGTACGTAAAGTATCAAAAGTAAAAGTACTTGTAAAATGTCTCTTGTGACTGAAATATGATTATTAGATTGTTAATATTGATGCAACTGTTCTGATACACAAATCAACTTGAATGAACAGTTAAATAAAACCATGTGGAGGGAAAATCAGTTTCTAACAGCTAATATGTGAAACGCGACCAGGGGCCCCAACCTGTAGGCTACATAATGACACAAGGGCCCTCTTAGATTGCATGGACTGACCCTCACACTCCAGCCTGGACGAGTAAACAAGAAATAGATATTTTTAAGAAACTAAATTTAAACTAAATATAATTTGTAGTTAGTGTGATGACACTTTGCGACACTTTGCTCACGAGATCGAGACGAGACAAGAATTTAACACCAAATTTAATGAAAATTTTGAGCATCAGCTTAATTTCCTTTATTTTGGTGAATGTTTGTGTAACAAATAAAGGTGGATGTGTTTTTTTGTGTAACGAACGCCGCTTGGCTCTACCATCCCTTCACACAAAGCAATCCCAGTCCCGGCTATTCTCATCTGTGACACCACGATGGTGGAACGAGCTACCACACGCCATCAGAGCAGGGGCGTCTCTAACTTCAAGAAGCTCCTGAAAACTCATCTCTTTCGAGAACACTTCCTCTTATAACACCTCTAACTCCTAACCTCTAACATGCACTTCCTGTGCTCTTCTTCTTCTATCCCCTACAATGATCATGTATAGATTGCACTTTTTGTATTGATTGCACTTTTTGTTAACTCTTACTTCCTTCCCTAGGTATTTGCCCCATTGATGTGATATGTACTGTGAGCTCTTACTAGTATTTATTGTAAGTTGTAGATCGGTATTTGATGCTCTGTTGATGCTTGTATGTTGTTCCTCAAATGAGTAAATGTAAATGTAATGTAATATAATGTAAATGAAATGTAATGTAATGTAAATGTAAATGTAATGTAAATGTAAATGTAAATGTAAATGTAATGTAAATGTAAATGTAAATGTAAATGTAAATGAAATGTAAAGTAAATGTAGCAATGTAAAGTAAATGTAAATGTAAAGTAAATGTAAATGTAAATGTAAATGTAAATGTAAATGTAAATGTAAATGTAATGTAATGAAATGTAAATGAAATGTAATGTAAATGTAATGTAATGTAAATGTAAATGTAATGTAAATGTAAAATGTAATGTAAATGTAAATGTAATGTAAATGTAAAGTAAATGTAAAACAAATGTAAAGTAAATGTAATGTAAATGTAAATGTAATGAAATGTAAAGTAAATGTAATGTAATGTAATGTAAATGTAAATGTAATGTAATGAAATGTAAAGTAAATGTAAATGTACATGTAATGTAATGAAATGTAATGTAAATGTAAATGTAAATGTAAATGTAAATGTGATGTAAATGTAACGTAAACAAAAGATTCAGGTGGCAGGTCACAATAAAAAATATAACAGAGTATGATGCAATAGGTTTTCTCCCGTAGATCAGCTTTTCTCATGTAAAACCAGCTGAGTCAGTGCACATGCAGGCATGATCTAGTCTTCCTCTTTGTGTCTCTGTCTGAGGAAGCAAACTTCAGTTTTTTCGCTTAATGTGGCCCCTAATACTCGTAGTCGTATCATTTAGAGAGGGACACATGAGGCAAGCCAGGGATGGAGAACACATGGATTATACAGACAGGGGCGTGATTAAAAAAAACAACTTACTTTATTGTTATTGATTTATTGATTGATTTCATTAAGCATGGATCTCCACACTCCGGTACGGTAGGCGGCGGTGTGCACCTTTAAGGTTGGTTTGCGATGCGCCAATGAAGCCAGAGAAGAAGAAAGAGGAACTTCCGCTGCTGTTTCCGTCGGACACGGCTTCAAAAAATCTCCCGCCGGAAGCCGAACCGGAGAAACTTCACGCTTCTCTTCTGACTGCAGGTTAAATTCACTGTCACGAGTCAGAATGAAGTTTCGAGGGAAAATCATAGACATCGCGTGTCTGAACCATTTCAGCCGTAAGTTGTTCAGCCGACAGACACGCTGCTGCTAGCTTGTTAGCTTGTTAGCTTCCACCAGACTTCAGCACGAAAACTCGCGTTTCTGCGCGGAGAAACAATTTAACGCCAGACTGGATTCTGGATGTGGCGGATGATCGTGTTTGTACGTTTTGTAAGCTGTTAGGGGCAGTTCGGCGCTGAAATATTAGCCAACTTTAATAAACTTGCAGCTTGATGAAGTCAAAATGAGGCCGAGTTGTGTTCTAACAACATAAACAAAACTAGACTAACGTCAGACTTGTTTCTCAGCGTGGTGAATTCACACCAGGTCTGATGATTAATTATCACTATATACAGACTTACCGGTTAATTTACAAACTATCTCATTTCTGTTTTGATCCACGTCGACGTTATCTGATCCCAGAGAAGACAAATGTTGTTGTTGGAGGTGTTTATGAGGGTTTAATTAACGTTAATCAGTTGACATTTATCAAACCTCTTCAGCACTTTCTTATCTGTATCGACACCTGCTGTACAAATAAAGTAGGGCTGCGAGATTTGGAGAAAAAGTCTGTGAGTGCTTGATTATCAAATGAACAAATACTGACATTTTGAAACGTGTTTTTGAACAAAGTTAAGCGATAAACAGTATTTATAACAATAACTAGTAAAACAGAAGTAAAGGAGCAAATACTGGCCCACTGGCATCCTGGATCCAAATCTGCATCAGTCCACTAACATACATGAGTCTATTAGTGTAATATTATAACATTAAATAAAGAGTATAATGTTCATGTAATAGTGTACTGTTAGTATAACAATAATGGCCTATGTTAATTATTATATTCGTTATAATTTCATACAATAGTAGAGCCTATTATTTTACCACTAGTTGAATATTAAATCCTGTTACAGCTGTTTCATTTCTGTGGGTTATTTATTTATTTAATCCTTTTCTCAACATTTAATGATTTGATGTAGCATGTAAAACTTTTTTAATGTCCCGCCACATCCAGGCTGTGATTGGTTGGTTGACAAAAGGTGAAACTTACAGGCTTTATGAAAAGTTGAACAACAAAAGGCACCGATACAGCGTTAAAACGTTAAATGGCCAGCGAGCCAAACTCAAACCTTCCTTATGTTCTCCCAGTTTTCTTCTGTCTTACTGCTTCACCTGCTGCTGCCGTCGTCTCTCCGTCTCTGTCAGAGAGCAACAGGTGTTGTGACAAATTCTGCACGCCTGCCGAGACTTTCCTGCACCTCGCGGCTGGTAACGCTGATTCATGCTGAGAAAAGAGGTGGATGCAGATCTGGGCAGGAAGCCTCCAACATCTGTTCTGCCGAATTATGCATCCACCTCTTAAAGGTCCTTTCCATTTACCCTTTGCTCTGTACACAATAATCATCGAAATTATATCAAATAAAGGCTTGAAATATCTCACTTTGCATGTAAAGAGTCTATATATATTAGTTTCATCTTTATATTAATTTTTCACCTGTAAGTGTAATAAATAATTAACGACTCTAAACGTTCATAAAAGATACACTTTAAATCATTTATCACCATTGATGAACCCCACAAAGGATATTTCAGCGTTTAAAGGCAGTTTTTGGAAGTGCACGCAATTCTACGCAGGCATGCAAAACTCGGCATAACACCGGTGTGTCACACACGCCTTTTCTGTTTATTAAATCTCACACTTTTTGCGGTTATGTAATCACACATGACCACATCGCGATTAGATTAATCGTGCAGCCCTTAAAAAAAAGCTCTAATTATTCTTTGTTAAAGGTCGTTTGAAAACGTTTATCATACAAAATAATCAGTAGTTGCAGCCTTACAGTTCTCATGTCTCCTGTTTGAAGAGTGAGAATCAGATTAATGTTTGATTGATCATCTGGTTAATCTGACGCAGTCTGTGGCTGGATTATAACAAACTGAGGTTAGATATGTTAATGACTCCGCTCGTCCTCTCCAGGAGTCATCACCACCATCTCGAAGCTGACGAAGATGTGCGTCCTGCGACTGACTCCAGACAACCTGTTCTTCGTCCTGTCGGGTAAAGTGGCCAACGGAGGGGTCAGCATGTGGTGTGAGCTGTCACAGGTAAGAGCCGCTGCGTGTTTCACCTGTAGGGGAGTCAGAACAGGTGGGAAAGAGGAGAGAGGCGAACTGACAGGGAAGCAGCAACATGGAGTTTTTGCTTTCTTCAAGTGTTTTTTATTGGCTTAACAGGAGAGTAGCAGAAATAATTCACGTGTTCGTCAGAACGGAGGAAAAGTATTTGTTATACATCTCCATCAGTGGATGGACCTTCAGCCTAGTCCAAAACATACAGACAT